CGAACTCCTGACCTCAAGTGATCCACCCAACTCGGCCTCTTGAAGTGCTGGGATTACAGGCGTGAGCCACTGTGCCCAGCCTAAATTGGGGTCTTGAGGCACCAGTGTTGGTGTTAGGCAGGAGAATCACTTGAACCTGGGTGACGGAGGTTGCAGTGAGCCAAGTTCGCACCACTGTACTCCAGCCTGGGCAACAGATTGAGACTCTGTCTCAGTTTAAAATAATAATAATTTGATGTTTATTTTCTTGGAAGTACCTGAAACTATTAGACCTGACTAGTCATCATAGTGAATGCTTTTATCCAGGCAGGATTCTCCTGTGTTAGTGCTTACAGGTGTTCTTTTGTCAGCTGCTACTGTGAATTGTTATAAGCAATTTAGCTAATGATGATGACCTCAAACGTGAATGTGCATGTCATATCTCCGTACTGAGACCTTGTTCTATAGCTACAATTTGCAGAGCCTTGACTTTGTTTTGCTAATATTAGGGGTGCTTTTTAAAATGTGATCTTTGTTTGCATCATCACATTTGTCTAGAATACATATTGTGGATTTCAATTTGTGTTTTCATCTGTTGTAATTTTGCCCTTCTCTCCACCTTGAAGGAAATTTGGTTATGTGGATTTTGAATCTGCTGAAGACCTGGAGAAAGCCTTGGAACTCACTGGTTTGAAAGTCTTTGGCAATGAAATTAAACTAGAGAAACCAAAAGGAAAAGACAGTAAGAAGGGTATGTAAGACTTTAGGAGATTATGCAATAAATTCAGGAGCTAGACTGCTAGGGAAAATGCTTTGTAACCCATTTCCCTTGGTTTCCTCTTTTTAAATTTTTTTTTTCCCCTTGGTTTCCTCTTAATGTGGGAATTAAATGAGCTGGTGTTTACAAGAGTACTTGGCACTGCTTGCTAGTGTTACAGTGTAAATTCTTGAGTTAGGCAAGCAAGAGCACTTTTATACGGAACACGAATTATTAGATGCACCTAAATTAATGTAAAGGGGTCTTCACTGAAACTAGATTAGGTCCCTAATTACTGTTTGCATCCTTTACTTTTATTTCTCTATATACAGTTGTAATGTTTTAAATTGGTACGTTCACCTTTTTTGTTTCTAAAAATAATATGCATCTACTCCAGGTTGAACTCTTGTGTACCCAGCGGATAGTTTGACATCAGCTGTGACAACATGGAGGGACCACTTGTGTGTTGACACTGCTATATCTCCAAGGCACAGAGCCTTGTACATTATAGGATCTCAAATTATTTGTTGAATAGAGCTGTGTCTTTTTTTTTCCCCTCTTTGTTGTTGCCCCCCACCTTTGGTTTTTCAGGCCATGGAGCTCATTTTTGTTTTTTTAATCTAGAGCGAGATGCGAGAACGCTTTTGGCTAAAAATCTCCCTTACAAAGTTACTCAGGATGAATTGAAAGAAGTGTTTGAAGATGCTGCGGAGATCAGATTAGTCAGCAAGGATGGGAAAAGTAAAGGGTATGTTCTGTCTGTTGAAATGTAAGGGTTTTCTTAACATGAATACACATTCCTGCTTTATAAAAGAAATGTTGGTTTGATTTTCTTAGGTGTGTAATTTTGGGCAGTTTAACCTGTAAATTTGTGCCTCAATTACCCATCTGTTCCATGGGGATAACGTACTCATAGGGTGATTTTAAAAGACAAGGTAATACATATAAAGGAGCAAGAAATGTGCCTAGCTTACAACAAATACTTTGTGAGTAGTAGTTCAGTGAGGTGAGGTTACTGTGAAAAAATTTTGAGTATTTGTAAAACTGTAGTGGGAAGTAAGAGGGAAGCTCAAGTTTGATTGAAAAGTAGCATAAAACTAAGGGCATTTATTGTATTCAGATCTGAAGTAAGTTCTGTGTTGCTGAGGTAAAAGCATTTGTGTTAATGTGGTTTTAAAAACCATGAGTTCTTCTCCCTCCATTGCAGGATTGCTTATATTGAATTTAAGACAGAAGCTGATGCAGAGAAAACCTTTGAGGAAAAGCAGGGAACAGAGATTGATGGGCGATCTATTTCCCTGTACTATACCGGAGAGAAAGGTCAAAATCAAGACTATAGAGGTGGAAAGAATAGCACTTGGAGTGGTAAGAAATTAGGCTTGTTACCGGGTTCCAGAATTGATGGAGGGAACTCCTTTGTGTCTTTGTACTTCATAAGTTTATATTTTTTAATCAAAGTTACCTAAATGTAGGTGAAGATCAAGGACATTATACCCCAAGTTATACTCTTATTTGGAATAGTAATTTCCGATCTTGAATGAGAGCTCTAAAATCATTTTGCATTGGAATACAGTAGGCAAATCAAGCTTCCTTTGTAGGTATGTTTTATACTTTAAATGACTTCGACTATGTGTGTGTTTTTTTTTTTTTTTTGAAACAGTCTCACTCTGTGGCCCGGGCTGGAGTGCAGGGGCCGGATCTCAGCTTACTGCAAGCTCCGCCTCCTGGGTTTATGCCATTCTCCTGCCTCAGCCTCCCGAGTAGCTGGGACTACAGGCGCCCGCCACCTCGCCCGGCTAGTTTTTTGTATTTTTTAGTAGAGATGGGGTTTCACCGTGTTAGCCAGGATGGTCTCGATCTCCTGACCTCGTGATCCGCCCATCTCGGCCTCCCAAAGTGCTGGGATTACAGGCTTGAGCCACTGCGCCCGGCCGACTATGTGTGTGTTGAACTCAGATTATTGTTCTAGGAAAACAGGCCAGTAGTCAGCCTGTACATAAAGAACCACCACCAGAACATTGCAACATGTACTAAGTACTTAATATGTTGAGTAACAAAAGTGGATTTCACTTACATCATCAGTATTTGTGTGTTAACTCTTTCAAGCACTGAAATGCTTAGGAATAAAATATTAGTGCTCTGACCGAAGCTGGGAACCACTGTTTCAGAGTCTTAGGAATGTGGCATCTCTATTTGCAGGTGAATCAAAAACTCTGGTTTTAAGCAACCTCTCCTACAGTGCAACAGAAGAAACTCTTCAGGAAGTATTTGAGAAAGCAACTTTTATCAAAGTACCCCAGAACCAAAATGGCAAATCTAAAGGGTAAGATAATTAATACCTTTATATCAGTTACAGGCTATATATGTCTTACAGGTCTAAAGGAACGTAAGGTCATGTGATCCTGTCAGAAAAGCCAAATAATTTTAGCTACGTAAATGAGTGTAAAAGAGCGTCATTTAGGTACCAACTTGAGAGAAGGCTTGGCAGCATCTTGTGACAGTGAAGGAGCACGTGCTTGGTAACTAACTTTAAGCATTAACTGTTCATCCTCAGGTATGCATTTATAGAGTTTGCTTCATTCGAAGATGCTAAAGAAGCTTTAAATTCCTGTAATAAAAGGGAAATTGAGGGCAGAGCAATCAGGCTGGAGTTGCAAGGACCCAGGGGATCACCTAATGCCAGAAGCCGTAAGTTCACCTGGATAGGATGCTGTGGTTGGGGGTAGCGCTCTCAGTGCTTTTGGTGTTTATTTTTTGCACAAATTCTGTGTTTCCTGTTGCTACTGAGTGAACAATAACTGGATATGATGACTGATTACCTGAGAAATAATTGATGAAATCTCAAGAAGATTCCTCTAGATAGTCAAGTTCTGATCCAGCTGTGTCAACTCAGAGCAGCAAGTTTGCCCATGATTTCCTGCCCCATCCAGTGGGCAGCACCTGCTTGGATTCTTCTCCCACTTTCCATAGAAGATGGGCAGAATATCAACTATGCAGTGGCAATTTAAAAAATGTAAACTCAGAATAGCCTTACTCTAATTAAGGACTAGTTGGCTTAGTTGCTTTTCACTGCTTTTCCACTAAGCAAGCATTCTTGGCCAGTAGTCATACCAGGCATTGTGCAAATTCAGTGTTACTACGAACTGTGACTTCACATAAAGTCACAATTTTTTTTCTTCTCCAGAGCCATCCAAAACTCTGTTTGTCAAAGGCCTGTCTGAGGATACCACTGAAGAGACATTAAAGGAGTCATTTGACGGCTCTGTTCGGGCAAGGATAGTCACTGACCGGGAAACTGGGTCCTCCAAAGGGTAAGGGAAGAAAGCACGAGTGCTGCTTTCACTTGAAGGGGTTTTTGTTCGGTGGAGACCTTGAGTCTAAGGTGTCTTCTCATTGAGCTCCTTTCTGTCTATCAGTGGCAGTTTATGGATTCGCACGAGAAGAAGAGAGAATTCACAGCACTAGCATTATTTTACCTTCTGTCTTTACAGAGGTATATTTAGCTGTTTTGTGAGACATTCTGGGGTTCAAGCTGTCACACCAGTTAGTTTTCCATAGAGAGCTACTCTGTCACTGGTATCTTTTCCCAACTAAAGGCTACTTTCTGTGGGATGGCTCCCCAGCGTGTGCAGTTAACTTGGGACATGTGCAGTAGGTGCTTTTTATAATGGGCAATTTCATTTGGTGTTCTAGGTTTGGTTTTGTAGACTTCAACAGTGAGGAGGATGCCAAAGCTGCCAAGGAGGCCATGGAAGATGGTGAAATTGATGGAAATAAAGTTACCTTGGACTGGGCCAAACCTAAGGGTGAAGGTGGCTTTGGGGGTCGTGGTGGAGGCAGAGGCGGCTTTGGAGGACGAGGTGGTGGCAGAGGAGGCCGAGGAGGATTTGGTGGCAGAGGCCGGGGAGGCTTTGGAGGTAAGGCACACAGGGATAATGACTTCAATGTCTACTGGACACCACGTAGCATATGCTCTTCAGACCGTGCCTTGTCACGGTTCCTAATCACTGGGAGGAGGAACTTTGTACCTATTCTTTTAACAGTGTCCTGCCTTCCCCCTGTAGGGCGAGGCGGCTTCCGAGGAGGCAGAGGAGGAGGAGGTGACCACAAGCCACAAGGGAAGAAGACGAAGTTTGAATAGCTTCTGTCCCTCTGCTTTCCCTTTTCCATTTGAAAGAAAGGACTCTGGGGTTTTTACTGTTACCTGATCAATGACAGAGCCTTCTGAGGACATTCCAAGACAGTATACAGTCCTGTGGTCTCCTTGGAAATCCGTCTAGTTAACATTTCAAGGGCGCAATACCTTGTTGGTTTTGACTGGATATTCATATAAACTTTTTAAAGAGTTGAGTGATAGAGCTAACCCTTATCTGTAAGTTTTGAATTTATATTGTTTCATCCCATGTACAAAACCATTTTTTCCTACAAATAGTTTGGGTTTTGTTGTTGTTTCTTTTGTTATTTTTTTTTGCGTTCGTGGGGTTGTAAAAGAAAAGAAAGCAGAATGTTTTATGGTTTTTGCTTCAGCGGCTTTAGGACAAATTAAAAGTCAACTCTGGTGCCAGACGTGTTACTTCCTAAAGAGTGTTTCCACTGGAATGTCACTGGAGAGCATGGCAAAGCCAGCTCTGTCACTCACTTCACCCATCCCAATGGAAATGGCGTAGTGCGTGCGTTTCCAGTATCCCAGCCCCCAACTTGGTTGAAATGCTGGTGAGGGGACCCGCTCCTGCAGCCCTGATGCTGATGAAGGCTGCTGCAGCTTTTCCCAGTTTTAGCAGGTCTGAGGATTATGTCCTGTAGAAGACTCTGGAAAGAGGCGCAGGAACACATTAGTCAGGTCTCCTAGGACAAGGAAGGGCATCTGGGAAGAGCAGTGGCTCACACCCGTAATCCCAACACTTAGGGAGGCCGAGGTGGGCAGATCACCTGAGGTCAGGAGTTGAAGACCAGCGTTGCAAATGTAGTAAAACCGCATCTCTACTAAAAGAAAAATTAACTGGGCGTGGTGATGTACTGCTGTAGTCCCAGCTACTCAGGAAGCTGAAGCAGGAAAGTCACGTGAACCCGGGAAGCAGAGGTTGCAGTGAGCTAAGCACGCACCACTATACTACAGGCTGGGTAACAGCGAGTCTCCAAAACAGTTCTGGAATAGAACTCATGCTAGATGGATAGACCAGTGGACACTCAGGGACCACGCGGCTGGGGAGGAAACCACATCCAGTAAACCCCTAAAAAGCCATTTGTTCTGTACTATGTATATTGTTTATTCTTTCTGGTCTTAAGTACTTGCCTCAACCTTCACTTTTAGTAAAAGATGAAGGCCACATGAGAGGTGGGACTATCAACAACGTGATGAATTTAGATGAAACCCAGTGCCCAAAATCAACATAGGTAGCCAAGTGCAAAACCCTGTTTTAGTCAGACTAGCGAAATCAAACTATGATACTTGGATAAGCTTAGAAGGCAACATGCAGAGCCTTAGCTGGCTTAAGTTTACCCTGGTTGAGTTGGGCTGCTGAAATCTTAACATCCTTGTGCTTATCACCTACTGCTTGTCAGCCCTGTTCCATGTCCAGGGGACGGGGGTGGTGACAATCCAGTTACAAGACTCACACTCTAGAGAGGAAGGCGGCCAGTGAGGGTTGTAGCTATGATAAAAAGCAGTGGGAGGGTCTCCCATGAGGCAAGCCTAAGGACAAAAAAAGGAAGGCCTTGCAGTGTGTATTCTAGATAAGGAATTGAAGGCTTTTAGATAACAAGCCCATCAGGGGTGTTGTGGATTAAGTCTCAAATTGCAGCAAGGGACATAGTATGAACATAAGAATCTATCTACAGTGGTTTTCAAGAAAGATCCTGTGAGGCCGGGCACCACACCGTGGGTCATACCTGTAACCCCAACACCTTGGGAACCTTGGGTGTGGAGATGGCTTGAGCCCAGAAGTTTCAGACCAGCCTAGACAACAGTGAGACTCCCATCTCTACAAGAGATGGTCGTGATGGCATAACCCTGCAGTTCTCGGGAAGCTGAGGTGGGAGGATTGCTTGATCCCGACACTGCATTCCTCCAGTCTGGGTGACAGAAACAGTTTGAAAAACCTTGTGAAGTTGGTGTCTAGGTCTTCTGGAATCTATGAAATGCCTCCAGGGTTCTCCTTGGTTCCCTGCAGCCTTCACCCAGTTGAGAATGTGCTGCAGCTGGTTTCTTTGTGCAATCTTTGGGAGGCTCATGGGTTAAAGTAAGTGATAGTCTATATGCTGTGTGGCCATCTGTTGGGATTGCTGGTGGCTCTGGTGCAGCATAGCCACTGCTTTTTCAAAACTTGGAGAGCCTATGGGAGTGGGATTTTGGTAGGTTCCCTTGCTGTGTGCAAGGGAGGGCTTGAATTGCAGGAAGAGCTCATGGCTCCCAAGGTGGGGCTTGCATTGCTATCAAGTTGCTGTTAATAATGGGACAGTTGCTGTTCATGTGCTCAGCAGCTGGGCGTTTTCCTCAGCCCCTCTACTAACCTGCTGTGAGGCAAGACAAGGGCAGGACACTAAGGTTCCTATCTCCTGATTCTTTTTCTTTCCTATTCCTTAAGGCAAGTAGAGATGGTCCAGTCCTGTGATTTGTCAGTGCTTGTTCTAATCATATGTGCTGATTTCCTATAGAATGAAGATGAGGGCCGGGTGTGGTGGCTCAGGCCTGTAATCCCAGCACTTTGGGAGACTGAGGTGGGTGGATCAGCTGAGGTCAGGAGTTTGAGACCAGCCAGGCCAACATGGTGAAACCCCGTCTCTACTGAAAATACAAAAATTAGCTGGGCGTGGCAAGGGGGGCACCTGTAATTCCAGCTACTTGAGAGGCTGAGGCAGGAGAATTGCTTGAACCCGGAGAGCGGAGGCTGCAGTGAGCCTCCGCCCTCAACAAAAGCGAAACACTATCTCAAAAAAAAAAAAAAAAAAAGGCCGGGCGCGGTGGCTCAAACCTGTAATCCCAGCACTTTGGGAGGCCGAGACGGGCGAATCACGAGGTCAGGAGATCAAGACCATCCTGGCTAACACGGTGAAACCCCATCTCTACTAAAAAATACAAAAAACTAGCCGGGCGAGGTGGCGGGCGCCTGTAGTCCCAGCTACTCGGGAGGCTGAGGCAGGAGAATGGTGTAAACCCGGGAGGCGGAGCTTGCAGTGAGCTGAGATCCGGCCACTGCACTCCAGCTTGGGCAACAGAGCGAGACTCCGTCTCAAAAAAAAAAAAAAAAAAAAAAAAAAGAGGATGGAAGGTAGATTACCCTGCAGCGCCAGAAAGAGACACTGGGGCTTGTGATTAGGGACTGAAGTCAAATTCACAGTCTTCCCTGGTGCCTGTCTCTAGTTTCTGATTCGGTGGTGTTTGGAGCCATTTTAGAAAAGTGATAGTTTTCTTCTGCAAATGGTTGTCACCACATTTGTCATGCTTCCAGCAGGTGGCAGCATAAGTCCACAAGGATCTGGAAACTCCTGCTGGAGGGAGGCCTGGTGATGACCTGGCTGCAGGCCTGTGCATCTCTAACTCCAAACTCACCGTCAGATTTCGGACCAGTGGACAGGCCCAGAGAGTCCCCCACCTCGAGTGATGCTGCACAACCCCTGCAAAAGGAGTTTCCAATTGGATCCTACAGCTTTTTTTGGAGGCATGTCCTGTGCCCTTTCTCTGAGAGTCACCCTGTTATCTTTGTGTCTCACTGTCTCCCCTCAGCCTAAAAAGAAAAACTAAAGCTTTTCTCACTCCAAAAGACTGTCCCCCGACCCTGCCACCTCACACAGTTGTCTCCTCTTCTCTTTGTTGCCAAACTTTCAGGATGAGCATACTCTAGCCTCCTCGAAGTGTGGCTTCTGTCCCCCTTCCTCCATCGTGATCATTAAGGTGCCAAAGCCAGGGGTCAGTCTTCCCTCAGTTCACCTTCTTCCCTGCAGCATCTGACAGACTCTCCCTCCTTCCTGCCGAAACTCCTCCTCCACCATTAAGAATTTAGGCAGTAGGGCCAGGCACGGTGGCTCACGCCTATAATCCCAGCACTTTGGGAGGCCAAGGCGGGTGGATGACCTGAAGTCAGGAGTTCAAGACGAGCCTGACCAACATGGCAAAACCCTGTCTCTACTAAAAATACAAAAATTAGCTGGGTGTGGTGGCAGGCGCCTATAATTCCAGCTACTCAGGAGGCTCAGGCAGGAGAATCACTTGAACTTGGGAGGTGGAGGTTGCAGTGAGCAGAGATCGCACCATTGCAGTCCAGCCTGGGCAACAAGAGTGAAACTCCGTCTCAAAAAAAAAAAAAGAAGAAGGAATGTAGGTCGTGGCCTAGCACTGTGGGAGGCTGAGGTGGGAAGACAGCATGAACTCAGGAGTTAGAGACCAGTCTGAGCAACATAGTGGGACACATATCTATACCAAAAAAAGAAAAAGTAAAAAAGAACTTAGGCACACTAAGGGTGGAAGTGGTTAGGAAGGAAAAGAACAAATCCTCAAGGACTGCAGCCATTCAAAAGCCCAGGTTCATCCAATTCACATATGGGAGCCAATGGCTGTCTCCACTGATCAGGTCACCAACCCAGTAATGGGGGGAGTAAGAGGCCAAGAGGGTTACCCTATTTCTGATCCCTATACATGGAAACATGAAAAGAAATGCATGCTCCCTCTGACAGGGGTGACTTGGTTTTGTTCACTGTGCTGTTCCGAGCTTAGAAGAGAGGCTAACACAGTAGGTGCTCAGCAAGTTTCCCAGGGGAAACACCTTCCCCCCAACTTAACGTAGGGTCAGGTAGCAACAGGAAAGGATCATTAGGCCAGGAGTTCTGAACATATTTTTGTTATTAAAAAATTTTTTTTTTTTTTTTTACATATAAGGTCTCACTCTGGCCCAGGCTGGAGTGCAGTGGCACAATCATGGCTCACTACAGCCTTGACCTCCCGAGCTCAAGCAATCCTCCTACCTCAGTCTCTTGAGTAGCTTAGTTGTGGGGATTACATGCGTGCACCACCACTGGCTGATTAAAAAAGAAAAACATGTTTTTATAGAGACAGTGCCTCACTGCATTGCCTAACTGCATTGCCTAGGCTGGTCTCAAACTTCTGGGCCCAAGCAGTCCTCTCATCTTGGCCTCCCCAAGTGTTAGGATTACAGGTGTGAGCCACTGCACCTGGCCAACATATTTTTAAAGTTATTTTTACTTTATTTTATGATTTTTTAAAATGAGATGAGGTCTCACTTTGTTGCCCAGGCTAGAATATAAAGGTGTTATGATAGCACACTACAGCCTCAAACTCCTGGGCTCAAGTGATCCCACTTTAGCCTCCCTGGTAGCTGACTACAGGCACATACCACCACGTCCACTTTAAATTAATATTTTTGTACCAAGGATTATTTTGGGAGTCTGGTGAAGCCTTTGAATCCTTTTCAGAATAATGTTTTCTAAATCACTTTAAAATATAAAAGGAATACAAGGGAGACCAATTATATTGAAATTAGTTATTAAAATATTTGAGCACAACTTACGTGATAGAATTATAGATATGTTCATTAATGGATTAGGTAAGATTTATTTACATTGAAAACACAGGTAGTTTGGTTCTGGTAGTGATAAAGTGGCTTGTAACAGACTAATACTTCTGTTGATGACAATTATAAACTCTGGTCAGACCAGGCAGGTGGTTCACACCTGTAATCCTAGCACTTTGGGAGGCCAAGATCTGTGGATTGCTTGAGCCCCTGAGTTTGATACTAGCCTGGGTAACATGGTGAAACTCTGTCTCTACAAAAAATACAAAAATCAGCCAGGCGGGC